CTATTCATTTCCAGAATCAATTATATTCAGTAGTTGAGGTTTTTATCACTTTAATAAGAGGAGGGGACTCCTATTCTATTTTTCCACCTTTTTTTAAAGCCCCCTCCTACTTTTCTTAGATATATTGAATTAGAATTGTGTTTTAAATTTTAGAAATACTATCCTACTAGTCATCATACTTTTTTTTGTAAGAAATAATACCAGATTAGTTCAAGGAGTTGGAGATTGAAGATATCCCAAATGTCCAACTCTTCCAAGATACTACTTTGTTCTATTTTCCTTGCACTTCTCCCTTGAGTGTATACCTGCAGGTACCTGGGCTCTGCAACATCCCATGGAAACTAAGGAAACTTTGAGACGGTGTTTCACATAGTGGTGTATGCTGTTCAGCCCAAAATCTTGAGGGTCAGGCAGAGGTGAGCTAAATGCAGGGTACAGACCCAGATGCCAAAAATGTTCAACAGCCACAGTGGGGAAAACAGAGGTCTGGTTTTATAGGGCAGAGGGTGGGTGTTAGAATCAGCATTTTATGCCCCACAAAAAATGTATTCAGTCACATCCTCTACAAGATAAAATTAAGAATTTCCCTCAAGGAAACAAAGCTTGTGGCTTGGTTCACACCATCTATTAAAGGTCTTAAAGATACCTCACCAAGGTCACAGTCCCACCCTACTCTAGTCTGGCAGCATAAGAGAAAATGCCCTCCAAAATGGGACCATAGCCACAGGAATATAAAATCCAGAACCAGAGTAAGGAACCAGGGCTCAAGGTTAATTGACCACAACTCAATACTGAACATGTTATTTTACAACTTGTTTTTCCCATGTCTTTGTTTTTGTGATGTTTCTCCCCTTATGTTGGTAACTTAAACTGTTAAGTTCATTGTATGTTTGCTTACACTTGACTTGTTATCTTTAGGAATGTGACCAACTTTTAAAAGTTTTATTGAAAAAATTCACCCATCATACAATTCAGTAGTTCAATCATATTAAAAGGAGTTACTTTATCACCATAATCAATTTTTGAACATTTTCTTCTTATGCTCATTATTAGCTCCACATCTCCCCCAGTCTCTCCTGCCATACCCCTAAGAAACCATTATTAATCCAGTTGCTATCTCTATGGATTTACATATCCTGGATTTTATATACAGAAAAACAGAAAACATCAATCGAAAAGAAAGCAGAAACTAAATGGGTCAAAAGGGAGATCAAATGATAAGGTATTCAATTTTAACCCGACTATGTATGGAACAATCCACTTTCCAGTGCACTCTGTCCGGAAGGAAGCAAGGCCATTTACATCTCTGGTCTGTGGCCAGAAGGAATTCACCAGAACCTTAATCCACGAGGGGAAACACGGCAAGTGGATTTTGGACTTTTGCTGTCATTCATAGCCTTCTGATAAAAGATTTTGTTTTTTACAGTCCTTGGATCATACAGGCTTTTGCGCTTCTTCCATGAGGGCTTAACTTACACATCACTTAGATGACTCCTTGTTTTAAGCCCCAAGATGCTATTCTTTTTAACAGCTGGAAATCATTTGATATCTTCATCACACTTTGCTGTCACATCCATATCATCAGTGATCTCTTCATGAGGCCATGTATTGAGTAGTTAGCCAATTATCTGCTGTTAAAATATAATTCGTGACATTTTGCCCATTGGTGTTTAAAGATGTGTGTGGGGTGTGTATACATACATACACACATACATATATACTAAACTTACAAAGTACATCTAGAATATATAAAGCCATCTAAACTCAGAAGAAAGACAAAACATTCACTGCTGTTGAGTTGATTCTGACTTAGTGAACCCTATAGGGCAGTGTAGAATTGCTTGTTAGGGTTTCTGAAAGTAAATCTTTAACGGAGCAGATAACTTCATCTTTCCCCCATGGAGCAGCTAGCATGCTTCTGGTTAGCAGCCGAATGCTTCACCCACCAAGTCTCATTGAAAGACAAAAAGGCCAATAGAAAAGTGGGCAGAGAGGATGAAAAAGGCAAGTTGTAGAAGAAAACAAAGTGACCAATTAAGCTTATGAAAGCATAGTCATTCTCACTAGTCATCAGTCAAATTCAATCAAATGAACATCTGATTAGCAAAATAAATAAAATTTTATATAAAACATTCTTTATATATGAGGATAAGTAAAAAATACTGCTAAAAATTATAGAACTCTACTAAAAAAACTATCAAAATATAAAGTTTCTTATTCCTGACATTTCTAGCTTTATGCACTTAAGGTGATGTTTTCATCTCTAATCCTTCTGAGAATATTTTTGTGCTTTTCAACTTACACCATGTCAAAATGTCATATTTGGCATCCTTGAGGGACTCAAATCATGTTTGTTTTACATGTTCTTTGAGCTTGGGAAACAAAAAGTGTCTGAAGGGACAAGATGAGGGCTGTCAGGTGGAGGATGTAAAGTTTCCTAACAAAATTCTTGCTATCTTTGAAGAATGAACAGGTGAGTTGTTGTGATGGAAATAAATTCCTGGCCTTTTCCCCATCAATGTACTTTCAGTTTTCTTAAAACTTCTTCCTAATAAGGTACTCTGATGATCCTAGGGGAAAATCTATCAAGATTATCCCTTTGGGACACCCTCTCTCCAAACAAAACAAAATGTGAACATATCCTTCTGAAGTGACCTCTCTGCCTTGTGTTTAACTGGTTCAGATGATCCCTTCAGATGCCACTGTTTTACTTGGATTTTTTTTAAGACATCATACTGACACTGAAGTAAAGTGTATCACTGACAGAACTTAATTGCATCCATTCACTGATCAGAGACACATGTTTACACACATTTTGTTTGGAATAAGCCCTTGCATATATGAACTGGAACCCTAGTAATATTTTGTTTTAGTTTTCTCTTGTGAATCAAGATGATCCCTTAAGTATTGGGCTGCGATCTCCAAAGTCAGCACTTCAAAACCACCAACTGCTCCAAGAGAGACAGGGCATTCCACTTCTGTAAACAGTTACAGTCTTGGAAACTTAAACAGGGGCAGTTCTACCCTCTCTTGGATAGTATATGAACCGGCATGGACTCAATGACCATGAATTTTGATTTGGTTTATTGTGAATTAAGCGACATTTTATAGAACAGGTGATTTATCTTGTTAAGGTGCAAAGGCCATATCTGAAGTTTTCTGGCTTCTCTATTGCTACAAGGCAAAGGTCAGACATGCCTCCACTCTCCCTCCTTCTTCACCCCACTCTAACTCCTCTTAACTGTTCCTGTGCTCAGTAAATCATTGTAATGGCTACACAGAACTCACAGCCATTGATACTAGAATTTATAATATATCTTTAAGAGATTATGGCCAAGAGAGGCATGTTATTTGACTACATCTCACTTTTATTCATCCATTTTATACATACCCTCTTTCAACATTACAGGCCTCTTAGTATACTATCACTTACTCCGCTTTTCCCTTGGGTTTCTTTGGTCAGCTTAAAGCCCAGACTGTACTTTGGTGTAGGTTCTCAAACAGGCAGGTGATACCAGTTTGAATCCTGGGCCCATGACAGAATACTCAATCTCTGTCTTGCTAATTGTCTCCCCTAACATACTCCCACCTAATTCTGTACCTCCTGAGTCCACCTGTCCATCCTGGAGCTCCAGGGAAGTTCTGATTCAGTCTAGTCTCCAAGAGTTCTAGCTAGGTGTTGGGAACCAAGGTTACAGCCAACCTTAATCTCCCCTTTCACTGGAATGCAGTTAGTAAGTAGGTTGGGACCTTCTTGCTCCAGTGTATAAAGGCCTGTGAATCTTCCTTCTCAAGTTTAGGCTCAACCTTCCCCCAATTATGTTGAGTGAGAATTATTCTTATCTTCCTCGGTGTTAACTAGGGGCAGGTGAGAAGCAAGGGGGCTTGGGGGGTGGGTGGGGTGGGTGTTGTCCTGCCAGGCAGTACAGAATCTTCAGCCTTTGCAAAGATGTTTTATGTCAGTTCCTCCCTTAGAGACACCTAAATGTAATTAGCAGAAATTTTCTTTCCTCAGGGAAGGTCCTCAAATCACGCTGCTGAAGCTCATTCAATTTTTTTGAAAGTTCTTTACAGAGGGTTTCACAGAGGCTCCCTATTATTGGATGTCCCTCCATCCATTCATGTGTTGATGATGAACATTTTGGTTGTTCTACCCCTTTGGCTTTTTGAGTAGTGCTACATGAACATTGGTGTGCATGTTTCTATTTGAGACCATGATTTAAATTCGTTTGGGTGTATACCTGGGAGTAGAACTTCGGACTTGTGTGGTAATTTTGTGTTTTAAGGTTTTGAGAAACTGCCAAAATGTTTCTCTCAAAGGCAGTACCATTTTACATTCCCATCCTATGTTTTTATACCTGTACTGCATTGTTTTGATTATTGAATCTTATAGTGTGCTTTGAAACCAGGGAGTGTTAGTTCTTTTTTTCTGCATTGTGTTAGCTATCTGGAGCCCTTTACAATATCATAAGAACTTGAGGATTGGCTATTCTATTTCTGCATAAGACTGTTGGAATTTTGAATAGGATTGTTGAATCTGTAGCTTGCTTTGGGTTATATGGATATCTTAACAATATTAAGTCTTCTTGGGGATTTTCCCCCCTCTACATCCAGAATTATGTCATCTGTTAATAAAGATAGTCTTACTACTTCCTTTTCAATTTAAATGCCTGTTGTTTCTCTTTCTTGCTTAATTGCTTTGGGTAAGACTATCCTCCCTCCTCCTCACAATTCAGTGTTAAATATTAGTGATGAAAGCAGATACCCTAGACTTGTTCCTGACTAGGGTGGGGTGGAAGAGTGGTTTCAGTCCTGTTTGAGTATATTGTTAGCTTTGGGTTTTCATACATGCTCTTTATCATGTTGAAGAATTGCTCTTGTAATCCTAGTTGCTGATTAACAGCTTATTTAATGCTTTCTATAATAGCTTTTTGAAAATTTTCCTTAATTCTACAATAATTTTATTCTGTTTTCATTGACTATACTTATTTCTCTTATAGGACATGCTGGTGTGTCTGCCAACATGATGAAGAAAAGGACTTCCCACAAGTAAGCAATTCTGAAATAAGTTTTTAGATTTCATATTGTAATTGTTGTATTGTGACCTTTTATTACCAAGGCTACGAGATTCACTTGTATGAGGCCTTGGTTCAAAGGAGATGGGGCTTCAAATAGCGTTGGTGCCCATTGAGTAGTTATTTCTATCTATTCTCATTTTTTACTAGATTTAAGTGGGCCTTGATCTGTTTTCCAAGGAGCTCTGAGACCTGTTGGGTGGGCACTGGACTGCTAACTTGGCATGGTCAGCAGTTCAAATCCACCAACGACGGGAGAACCCACCTGCATGGGAGAACGGTGGGGCTATTTGTTGTCATAAAGATTTACAAAGCCTCAGAAAACCTATGTAGGGTTGCTTTGAGTTGGAACTGACTCAGTGGCATGAGGATTTTTGTTTTTCAATGATCTGTTATTCAGCCTTTAAAAGCCTCTGAGTCTGGATCCCCTGCTCCCCCTTCTAGCTTAATGGACTCTGGGTGTAACAGAAGGAGATAACAGCTGGAGAGGCTAGGGCACATATTGTAATACCCCTCTTACATTCCTTGAAGAAGTTACATATTAGTGATGTGATGCTGTGCAGCAGCCCTTATAAGCTGTGTTTCATAATAAGATTCAAGAGGGCACCAGCCATGCAGAGAGAGCCTGTGTGTCACTCACTGCTTTATAATATTTTAAAAAAGTATATGCATGCATGTGTAAGAGTCAACTGAATGGCCGTGTATCTTAATTGATAAATGTGTTTAAATCTTAAGAATATAAAAGTGACTTTTTTCTACCGCAATTTTTGTTTTTTTTTGGTTGGTGGGGTAACATTTCATCCAAAAAGAGAATCTATCTTAAATGAATACCAACTTTTACTGTATTTACCAAGTAAGGACTGTACTTCACTCTTTACACTAACTCCTCAGGCTCTGATTATAGCATTTATTTCCAAATTATTAGCTTTTTGAAAGTCTTATTCTTAAGTTATCAAACACTAGTAGTTGAAATATTAAGAGAGTCCTCTTGGCATCCAAGAAAGTCCTGGTGAATTTAAATATAATTAAAAATCAAACCCACTGCCATCACATTGACTCTGATTCATAGCAACCTTATAGGACAGAGTAGAATTGCATCTTTGGGGTTCTGAGACTTTGAATCTTGGTGGAAGCAGATATTCGCAACTTTCTTCCATGAAGCAACTGGTGGGTTTGTACTAGTGACCTTGTGATTAACAGCTCAATTTGTAACCCACTATGCCACCCAGAGTTCCTTACCAACAAATAATTGGTAACTATCAAATATGTCTACAATTTCACTGAATACGTAGATGTAATTCAAATATTTATGATACTCAGCTTAAGAAATTACTTGGAAAGTAAAATGTGAGGGTAAAATAAATATGTACTTGTATTCTTGAAATTAAAACCAAATGTTTTTGTTCATTTACCTATCACTTTTGTAGTTTTACCTTACCAGTGAAATAGCTGGTAATTTATTTAATATGAGTAGGCTTCAAGTTTTGGGGACAAAAACTTAATGTTGCAGCTCCATTTTTCCATGAACTTATGAAGCCTCCTTGCAAATCTCTACCACACAACAAAGAACATCCTACCCCAAATGGTAGATTTCCTTTAGTCGCAGTAATGAAGAAATCTACATACACGCCACAGATAGTACAGAATGATCAATGCTCATAGAAGGCAAAAAAGGCACGTTAAACATGAATTTTGCAAGACAAAAACTTACTCATAATAAGTTTTTACAAATAGCCAAAATAAAGGACAGGAATGTTCATGATTGCCCTTTTTTCCCCCATCGTATACTGAGGGGGCCTTAAAAACAGTAAAAAAATGGAATTAAAAGATAATGACATTTCCCACAAACCTTGCAACTACCTTGTATTTCCAAGCAGCTGTCAATTCAAAAGTACATGGGTTTGAACATCACACCTTATTTTCATACATTTTATGCAAGTGGCCATGTGCTTTGACCTAAGCAGTACTTTTATTAATTCATTAATTTGATAGACTAGCTATAGTTTATCCTAAAATAGAGTATTAAAATTTTCTGACATTCATATGTGCACAATTAACAGTGTCTAGGTATGTAACAAAATTAAGTAGTTGAAACCTTTTAAATACTAGTTTTCTGCATTTCCTTATTTTTTACATTCTCACTACAAATCTGAAGATGAATAAAACAATAAGACTTAAGCAAACGTTTCCACATATATAAATGATTATTAATTTTGTCTTTCAAATAGAGTACGCAGGCATGGGTGGATGCATTGAGCTTATAAGAAGAGTCAGTGTGGTTGAGAGGCAGCCTGTGTTAGCAGGCTGTTTGGAACCTAACTGAGAATCCTCATCAGGCCTTCCTTCACAGCAATTTAAGGAAGCATGTTAGGCAAGTTAATCTTCCTGAGTAGAGATTTCACATTTCTAAAATAATGAGGCTGGGCTATAGCAATGGAGGTTTATGTATAAATGAAATTGTTATGGAAACCAACTATAGGGAGGTGGGGTGCCAGAAACCCAAACACCAGGAAAGTAGTTTCCCTTTAGCCTTTCCTGCTTCCTGCTACGACTCTTAAGGGAGTTCAAAGGATCGTGAAAAGCTCCTCAGCTGACCCTGGTCTCAATGGCATCAGGACTACTGCATTTAAACTCTGGCCAAGCTTCCTAACCTACTCTCACTGAGTAGGTTATAACCATGATGCCTTTTGAAGACACAGTAGAATTGCCCTTTTGAGTTTCTAACTGTCAGTCTTTACTGGTGCAGACAACCTCATTGTTCTACGGAGTGATTGGTTGGTGTGAACCACTGACTGTGCAGTTAGCAGCTCAACACGTAACCCCTAAGACACCAGGGATCCTTTCAAGCATTTTGTGTACAGTATGCTGAGAAATTAACTTGCAAATGTTTTAATTGCTTGGCAAAAAAAAAAAAAAAGAATGAAAACTTAGGGTAGATCCCTTGGATGGGAGACATGTTCTTCTAGAACCATTATCCTTAGATGAGACATAGGATCAATCTTTTTAGGTTATATTACTTTAAGTGATTGGCTCATTTAAATTATTTATTTGTAATGGTCTGACTAACATTAGAACAGTGCCTCTACCACACAGTAAGCATATAGCTGTTTTTTGTTTTTCTAAGTAAAAACAGATTTTTGCTTTCTGTGGTTCAGACACCATGCTGTGGATCAGACACAAACCTTTCTGGGATTTTCGTGAAGTGTTTTGAAGGGCGGAATGTATATCAGCTTGTTTCTCACTGACTTATATTTAGAAAATGGTTGAGGGCCTGCCTACTAAACACCAAATAGATGTGTCATCTCATGGGATGCTTTTCTCTCTTCTTGTTCCTCAACATGGGAAGCATTCACGTGGCAGAAGCATGATAGTAAGTGAAAGTAAGTTTTTTTGAGTGAAAGTAAAGTTTTTTATATTATGCTTTCACAGACAAGAATACATCATCTCCAGAGAGAGTGGGATGGAGCTGGGGTGGGACCAGAAAGACCATGTGAGGCTCTGCCTTCACCTTATTATATAACCTCTCTCCCTGATTGGTCTCCTCCCATATCTACTCGTAGGGCATGGTTTTCTGTTTTGATGGGCTTTTAGTGGATGTGCTCAAGTGTGCTTGTCCTGTGTAACATGTAACTGGTATACCCAGGTTTTTAGTAGACATGCATAAGTGTGCATGTGATGTAACTGGCCCTTTAAGCCTGTCTTCTTTCCATAGCCTTCTAGTGGGTGCTTGATCTCTTAGGAAGGACCCTTTTCTTTGTGGGCTTGGCTAGCTATCCTTGCAGATTGATTAGCCCCTAAGGGTCCTGCTTATCAGATGCAGTTCCAGGGTTTTTCCCCCTGTCATTTTCTAAGACAAATATTGTTCACTGACAGTATCATTGTAAGTATCATCGCCTCCATCACACCACCACCTGGAAGAATCGCAATTTAGTTTACATGAAACCCTATGAAGTAGTTATCTGGAGCCCTTTTTACAGATGAGGAATTGGTTAATGTACAGAAAGATTAAGTGGTTAAAGAGAGTAACTTGCCCATGGTCATAACAACTAATAGATTATTGAGGCTGGGATCCAAAAACATGATAGTCTGATTCTAGAATCCATGGTATTAATTATCATAATATAGTCACTGAAATGCATGTTTTGTTCATAACTAAAAATTAATGACTTTAGTTATAAACTTGCAAATTGGGAAACTGTTAGAGCATACATCTAAATGTAGTCATGGTGTTGAAATCATAAATTTGTCAAAACAAATAATACTTTTAAGCCAGTTTGCAATAATCTGTTGTAAACATAAGTCAACATGGATAGTGCTCTGAAAATTCCTGAAGGCATTTAATTACCATTTACAGGGTTGGAATTCTTGCCTGGAGTGCCTGGTGCTTTAGGGGAGAGTAAGAAAACATACTAATTTTGATGGAAAAAATCACTTTTTTCCATCCTGTTTTTAATCTTTTCACTGTAAAGTAGGAAATGATAGAGTTGGTCATATGACTTTTATTAAGCAATTTTTAGTTGCTGGTTTGCATCTTGTAAAAAAAAAGTTGTTACTTTGATTTAACAAGTTTTTTTCTTCTTCTAAAATCCACTAAAGAAGTAGTGAACTCTTTCCATATATCAAAGTACCAAATAGACTAGGAAAGAAAGTAATTAATTCATTTATACAAAATAATTGGTGATGGATTTCTAAGGCGCCCTGGTGGCGTAGTGTATTATGCAATGGATTGTTGACCACAGAGTCAGTAGTTCAAATTCATCAGTCACACCATGGGAGAAAGATAGGATTTTCTGCTCCTGTAAAGATACATAGCCTCAGAAACCCACAAGGGCAGTTCTACCTTGCCTTGATTTTTATGATTGCTATGAATCAGATTTAACTTGATGGCAGGAGGTGTTTTTTTGGTTTTAGTTTGATAGAATTGTGGTAGTTAAAAATTTAACGAATATGGTATCTTTATATATTAACTGTTAA